TTCCCCAGAAACATTCAGCAGCATGCTGGGCTGATCCAGAGATACAGTCTTCCCAGATGAGTATAGCAGTGGGGGAGGAGCTTGGGAATGTAGATGTTTCCAAGAAAACAATTATAGTGATCTCCTAGAACTACGGTATGGATGGAGGTAAAAATAGGAGGGTATTAATGGATAGAAAGTAGTAGAATTACTCAGTAGATTACAAATCTGGATAAAATTTAAAAATTATCACTAAAAATATGCTGCAGGCTATGAGATTTTGATCAAAAAGTAGTATGTAAATCTCCAGTTTGGGAAGTAGTGAATTTCTGATGATGAAAAGAAAGTAGATGAGAAAAGCAGAATGAAGAGGATAGTTCATTAGAAACAAAAAAATCAAGTAACAGAAATGACACCAGACAGCCCATCCAAATGGATGTTGAATTCAATGAGCAGAATGACAGGAATTGAGATGGAAAGAAAAACAAAGTGCTGAAGTCTTCAGCTTATAGAGGATGACCCAGCAGTTAGCGAATGACAACAGATGATCTAGCCAGAAGGCATAAGCCTCAAAGGAGCAGGGAAGTTTTTGGTTTTTGTTTTTACAACAGGGGTTGGAAGAGAATTATCTGGAATGGGCACTGGGGAAAGCAGAAACCACCTCCTCCTGGTCCTATAGAATGAGCAATTTGAGCATGTTGAGTCTGTTCTGTGAAAATGGGGGAGGGGTTGCTAATAGTGTAGCTTTCAAGGTGTAAAAGAAGCAGTAGGTTTCTTTTATACTCAAAACTAGATTGGGGTGCCAGCTGGCTCAGTCAGGAGAGTGTGCAACTCTTGATCTCCGGGTTGTGACTTTGAGCCCTTCGTTAAGTGCAGAGATTAGTCAAAAATAAAATCTCTGAAAAAACAAAACCAGATCTTTCACTTGGGAGTAACAAGGATCTACTAAGAGCTTGTATCCCTGAGACTGTCTGCCATGATTCATCTTCCCCATTTTACCAGTGTCATGTTGGATGTAGGGGGTGCTGGGTCCCCTTTCCAGTCATGCCACAGAATAGCTTCATAACTCTCAATTTTCCCATAACACTCCTGAGACCAGATTGGAATCCATTCATTTATTTCTCTTCTTTCCTTCTCTTCCCTCCTTCCTTCCATTTCTCCCTCCCCTAATTTTTCCCCCTTTTTTAAAATCATCCATTCATTCAGTGAGACTTTCAAAGCCCAAAAGGAAATAGGTATGGTAATTTGCAGCAAGATGTTGTTGCTTATAAAGAATTGTTACTGGGACGCCTAGGTGGCTCAGCGGTTGAGCGTCTGCCTTCAGCCCAAGGAGTGATCCTGGAGTCCCAGGATCGAGTCCCACATCAGGCTCCCTGCATGGAGCCTGCTTCTCTCTCTGCCTGTTTCTGCCTGTGTGTGTGTGTGTGTGTGTGTGCGCGCGCGCGCGCACACACACACACACACACACACACATCTTGGGGAAAAAAAAGAATTCTTACTCATCATCAACTCTGGATTTTTTTTTTTTTTTAAGATTTTATTTATTTACTCATGAAAGACAGAGAGAGGCAGAGATACAGGCAGAGGGAGAGGCAGGCTCCATACAGGGAGCCCAACGTGGGACTCGATCCCGGGTCTCCAGGATCATGCCCTAGGCTGAAGGTGGCGCTAAACTGCAGAGTCACCCAGGCTGCCCAACTCTGGAATTCCTTATAGGGAAGCTGACCTACATAGTTCTTTCAGGATCTGTACCCTACTTCTTCTGATACTTCCAAGAACTCCTAGAGACAGAAGCGTGACCCAAAAGAGCAGGTCCAGGAAAAGCTAAACGTTCCTTACCCCCTTCTAGAAGACCTAACTCTCACATTCTAGTTTTCAGGCTGAGGCTTGTCTCTTCCCCTGAATAATTGACAGCAGGGATGCCCAATTGTTTTAGGGAAAACCTACCCCCTGAGACAACTATATCTGAATGGGAAGGCTAACGTATCAGAATTCTAAACCTCTTATCCATACCCACATATAGAAACTGAAGATCAAGTTATTATGTAGAAAATGACGGATGTCATATTGAGACCTTTTATTCCAGCTAATCAATTATTAATAAGGGCTGTTTTAGAGTGTACATGGCATATACTTTGCTGTAATTTTGTTCTATAGAATTTGCCAACTGTATTCCAAATGTGTTTGCAAAATTAGATATAAAGGGCTAGAAAACATGGCATTTTCTACAGTGTGAGATATGGCTCTGCCTAGTATACGAGCGTTTCAGCATTGAGTTTTCAACCACAAAAGCATGTTTTTGTAAATTAAACTCATGGTAGATTAAATAGGAGGGGGAATCAAAGTAATGCAGACTTGGTGCTGAGTAAATTAAAGCTTTCAGTCTAGTAACAGCCTTAATGTCGTTTTTCTTACAGCACTGTACATCTGCCTGAATTCACACATATCAATATAAGTAGCAAAACAATAACAAATTATCCCTCAATGTTTTTTAAAGCAACTTAAATGAACCCCATTATTTGAAGCCTGCGAAAGATAGTGGGAGATTTTTCTTACTAACCGTGGCTATGTAATCCAGTAGTCCTTGAGAAAACATCCCTAAAATAGTCACTTGAGGGCATCCCGGGTGGCTCTGCAGTTTAGCGCCGCCTTCGGCCCAGGGTGTGATCCTGGAGTTCTGGAATTGAGTCCCACGTCACGCTCCCTGCATGGAGCCTGCTTCTCCCTCTACTTGTGTCTCTGCCTCTCTTTCTCTCTGTGTCTCTTATGAATAAATAAATAAAATCTTTAAAAAAAAATAGTCACTTGACAGTCTCTACTAAGAATTCTCAGGAGAGGGCGCCTGGGTGGCCCAGTCTTTTAAGCATCCCATTCTTGGTTTCAGCTCAGGTCATGATCTCAGGCTCATGATATGGAGGCCTGTGTCAGGAGAGTCTTCTGTGAATTCTCTCCATCAGCCCCTGTCCCTGTGTTCCCTCTCTCTCTCTAAAATAAATCTTTAAAAAAAATTCTGAGGAGAAGCAGGGAAGCAAATGAAAGGGAAAGAAAAAAGAGGTGAAATACTTTCTTCCCACACCCACAACAAATGGTGCTTGTGATTTCAGCAGGAAGAATAATGAAGGAATGCAACAGGTGGAGAGAGTACCAGGTGACCTACTGGCCTTCCACAAAGATCTTGGGTGGTCAAATGAGTTTACTTAATGATCATCTCAATGCTCAAGATCATTGACAACTTAGAAACAGACATTTGCAATCTCTGCCTCGTACAACATTTAGCACTTTCCCTCTCCAATAAGACTAATCAATCCAATATAACAAATACTAAGCAACATATATCATTTCCCAGGTAATATGACTGTCAGATACCTAGAGGAAAAATGACCCTCAAGGAGTCTTGAATGGGAGACATACCAACCGGTCCAATCAGCACATTGTGAAAATGGATATAATCATAATGGCAGTATGCCAAAGGCTCAATGGAGTTATAACAGGATTGCCTAAGAGGACAAAAGGTCAGTGGCAGGGAAAGCTTCTCTATACATGATTTTTTTTTTAAGATTTATTTATTTATTCATGAAAGACCCATACACAGAGAGAGATGCAGAGACACAGGCAGAGGCAGAAGCAGGCTTCTCACGGGGAACCCGATGTGGGACTCAATCCTGGATCCTGGGATCACACTCTGAGCTGAAGGCAAACGCTCAACCGCTGAGCCACCCAGGCATCCCTATACATGATTTTTGAACTGATTCTTGAAGGAGAAATAGGAGGGTAGAAGACATTCTGGGTAGAAAAAATAATGCATGTAAAGGCAAGAAATACAGAACGGTATGGCCTTACCACCTTGCCTCATGATTCAGTCAGGAAATAGCACATGTGAAGGGTTAACTGAAAGTTTAGCAAAGTGACTATTTCTAGAAATGTGGGCAAGGTGAACAGCATCAATCAACGATGGTGAGGCATTCAAAGTTAGCCACAGTGAGAAGCCATCCACCACCTGACCAACAGAGGGAAGAGAATGAGATTACCTGAACCTGGTGGAACCCATTAGAAAGGTGCTATTCAAGGGGAACCACAACCAGAAATAAGAACATAGCTGCTGTGAAGCCAAGAGTGGAGATGGAGAGGAGGGTGCGTAGCTGGACCTCTTTGCTACCCAGCTGGTGCTCCCATTGGCTGAACCTCACTGCAAGCCCAAGGGCGAGGGAGTTTGGGAAAGCTTTGAGGCCCAGAGAAGAGCAGAGACTACATCTAGAGGGACAGATGGAATCCCTAGCACACCTCAGATTCACACCCCATGTGCCAACAATTTCCTGTTTCTTGAAGAGGTATCACACAGGACTGTAGCTGTAACTCACATTATAACAGGTGCACCCTCGTTTCTTCTTCAATGGATAGAGAGGGGCTCCTTGCATTAAATAACAGGAAGAGAGATTTTTAAGATCTGGTTGGCTGGGCAACCTCTGCCCTTCACCATATCTTTCTATATTCCTATTTTTAATCACAGTAATGTAATAATTACTCAAGCAGATAGTTGAAAATAAAAACAGTCCTAAGTGCAAGATAACATACCACTTAAGTTCTTTTTGTCTATCTAAAAATAACTACACTTTAAATGTTCTGTCAGTGGATGAAACTGGCTTGCCTATTAGTTTCAGAATATTTTTGTCCACTTAAGACACTTCATATTTGGGAGTGCCCCGATGGCTCGGTCACTCAGTGAAGCGTCTGCCTTTGGCTGGGGTCTTGATCCCAGCCAGGATCCTGAGATTGAGCCCCGAGTCGGGCTCCCTGCTCAGAGGTGAGTCTGCTTCTCCCTCTCCCTCTGCCTCTCTCCTTGCTCTTGCTCGCTTGCTCTCTCCTCTCAAATAAATAAAATCTTTTTTAAAAAGACACATCATATTTGATTTATAAATTCTGGTCCAGGTTACCTTCAAATTTTATTATAGTGCTACATTGTTTGAAAGAGGAGAAGCAGAAAAATTTGTCCCTTTACAACTGTTTTTCTATTTCTTTTTCAGATCAATAACTCGATCTTATTACCGCAACTCAGTTGGTGGATTTTTAGTATTTGACATTACCAACCGACGATCTTTCGAACACGTGAAAGATTGGCTAGAAGAAGCAAAAATGCACGTTCAGCCGTTTCGGATTGTATTTCTGCTGGTGGGACATAAGTGTGACTTGGCTTCGCGACGTCAGGTTACGAGAGAAGAGGCCGAAAAACTGTCGGCAGACTGCGGTATGAAGTATATAGAAACCTCTGCAAAAGATGCCACAAATGTTGAGGAATCCTTTACGATCTTGACAAGAGACATATATGAACTTATTAAGAGGGGGGAAATTTGTATTCAGGATGGCTGGGAAGGAGTTAAAAGTGGTTTTGTTCCGAATACTGTGCATTCTTCTGAGGAAGCAGTAAAGCCCAGGAAAGAGTGTTTCTGCTGACTTCACACAGGCCACAGAACTAACGTGAACAGATTGGGCGTCATCTCAGGATAAATACCAACATTAACTTCAGAGTGATGCAATGAAAGCATTTAAGCAACAGTTACAAACCCATGCTAACGCTTTTTAGTAAGTGTTTAATTCAGAGCACTCTGCTTACTTGCCACACTACCAGATTGGGTATTTTGCTAAATTATGGGGCAGAGCAGACAACTTTTTCTTGAAACTGGAGTGTCTACAGAATTACTCCCATTCTCTCTTTGTTAGCATATAGCTGACCTTAATGTCCACAAATTTCAATATTACTCATTTTTCTTGACAGTTTGAAATGGGTTTTTTGTGCATATATAGTCTGATCGAAAACATTTGATCAGGAATTATATTCTCATGAGTTACTTTGTTAATACTGAATAGTAAAGTGGATTTAAAAGTGCATAGTTCGCTCTCAAAGTAAACAATCTCAGAGGTCCCATCAACTAGGACTAAGTAACAACTCCTGCTTAAGGTACCATGCTTTTAACCAGTCTTCGAAATATTTATGCTCCCTTAATTTGCCTGAACGTAAGGAAATAAGTTTTATACTCATTTTTGTTCTCTGATTTATTGCTCTTGATAATTTTATGTTTTGTAAAAAATATCTAAGGATCCAAGCAAAATATTTTATTGCAAATATTTATAAAAATAAAAATGAAGGACCATTCATCAGCAAGTGTTTTGATGTTATACTATATTGTCCTTATTTAGACAAGAAAAACAAGTTTATTTATATGCCAACATTTTCAAAGAAAGTAAATGCAATTTACCTTGAACTATTGTCAAAATTACCAGTATAGGTAAATATGGAATGTTTTTAGTATTTGCTTTTTTGTCCAAGTAAGTTACTTAATTTTCCCGTTTCTGGTACAAGAAAAGTATAGGAAAGACTTTTCTGGACAAGCAAGATTGGGTACATGTTTGATATATTTAGCATTCAAATTATATTTCAATAAAATTAAAGATAGAATAATAATAATAAGTTAAGGCCATAAAATGACTTCTGAGTTTTATAATTTTTATCTTATTGATTAAATTCTCCTCCTGGAAGGGACATTTTGATCACAAACTCAAGTATTTTATAACATACATTTCTGTTGTTAATCATTCCTAATCACAAAGGGGCACCAAATGCAGCCCCCTTTTTAGAACCATGCGTTTTACTATTAAAATAGGAGCTCCATTTGTTTGGAAAACAGTGATAATGGTAGAAAGAATATTTAACTAGAAATCAAAAAACCTGTGTCCTAAGCTTGCCTCTGCTGTACCATTTGAACATGAGCGAGTCACTTAACCTCACTAAGCATCATGTGTATGAGTGCTCTTAATTGTAAAACTTATTTTGAGAATCAAGTGGATATGTGAAAAAGCTTCGTAAATAGAGAAAGCATTATGCAAATACAAGCATGATATCAGCTGCTCATGGGCATCCTATTACATTTACAATGGATGAGAATTTTGTTTTCCTGTGGTCTTTCTCTTCATCCCCACCATTCTGCAGAGAGACCAGAAGAATGTGCATGCTTTCATGAACCTAGGGGATCGCTCCATTTCATGTGTGCCCTCTGCCCTCTTGCCGTGAAGCCCCCCCACCCCTCCACCCCCACCCCGTCCTCCAAGGTGGAAATGATAGGGAAAGAAATCCCAGGAGACTTGATTCAATCAGAAGTCCTGTTTGAATGTGGTTTTTGTGCATCTTTGAAGTGGATATTTAATTATATTTTAAATACTTGAACATTTTCTCGGTTCATGGAAGTATTTTTAATAGCACTTATGGAGAGAAGAATATAAATTATAACATCACTGTAAGATTTTAAAGTCATATTGTCACCATTTTCTTGATATCTTTGTATTAATTCCATTCAAGTGAGGTTCAAACTGTAACTGATCAGATAAGAATTGCTGTCCCCCAAAAATGTGAAGTCATCTATTTTTACTGTTACAATTTTAAATCTTATATTACAATTTTCCATCGGTCCAAAATGGCACCAACTCAAAAACTGAGTAGCTAACAATTTAAAGTACAGTCACCTGTGCCTACTTGTTTATTAAACAGCTAAAATATAAAATAAGATTTAATTTTCAGTGGACACCCTTTATAATACTATTGTTGGGGTCAGACTAATATTGGGGCTAAAGGGTATGATTTATTCCAAGATTTAGAATAGAACTAAAAGGTCAGAAGAAACAAATGGGGGCAGCCCGGGTGGCTCAGCAGTTTAGCGCCGCCTTCCCCTAGGGTGTGATCCTGGAGTCCCGGGATTGAGTCCCATATCAGGCTCCCTGCATAGAGCCTGCTTCTCCCTCTGCCTATGTTTCTGCCTCTCTCTCTCTCTCTCTCTCTCTCTCTCTCTCTGTCTCTCATGAATAAATAAAATCTTTTTTTAAAAAAGAAGAAACAAATGGAAATGCAAGGCCCCCCAAAGTGGATACTTCCCCAAGATCACACAAAAGCAGTCTAGTTGGGGCACTTTCCATTACTGTGCTATGTCAAGGGTGTGGGTATGCACGCGTGTGTGTATGGTGGGGCGGGGGCGGGGGTAAAGCGGGGTGGGGGAAAGCAAAGAGAAAATATGATCTAGCTGAATCCACAAAATACTAAAACTGGGCCATAGCATTTTGAAGTTATAGAAGAATTGTTTGTGGTGCAACAATACTAAAATGAATAACTGCAAGATCTGAGTTCCTACACAAGATTGCCAAACATCTGTATAACCTTAGCTAGATATTTTTAGCCATATATATATATCCATATATATATATAAAATAACTGACCTATTCTCTTACACATAATTATGGAGAATGTGGATAATGATGCCAAAACAGTGAAAATATTTGCTCCAGGCAAAACATTTTGACTAAGTGTCTTAGAAGTCAGGTATAGTTGAATCAGATATAATTGAAATTATTTAATTTAAAAAGTACTTAATTTAAATGTAAGTCTATTTGAATTTAAAATACAAAATTAATGGATGATGTAGCTAATTACTACATATTTTAAATAAACATGATAAAAATGAAATAAAACATCTATCTGATCATATAACACACTTGTCCCTGACAAATACTTCTCATCTTGAGTTGCGTTAACGCTTTCAGTGCATATGGTAATTTTAATTAATGGCAAGCTTAAGCCAAAACGATTTTGTAAACAGAATGCTTTTAAATGTGGCCTTTATATACATAATAGTAGCAAACGATTTCTCTGAGAGTTTATGCTAGGTTTCCAAAAACCTCAAAGTACTCCATGATTTTTTTTTTTAGCGGCAACCAAAGCAGCCTTTATTATTATGAAGATAACTTTGCCAATCTATTTATCCAACTTTACAGTCTTCAAAAACTGAATCTATGGATTAATAAAATCCTTTTGAGTGCTTTTAATTTTATATTGCCTTTGGTTCAATCAAGTACAAAGCTTCCATTGACTTCAAAGAGTGCACTGTATTTGAATAATTTCCTTAGGTCTGACAGTGACAAGGATTTGAAAGACTAAAGACCCATTTCGTAAGCTAATTCATTTTTTCCTCAGTAACTGCCTGGAGATATTCAGTCGGAAATGCAAAGGTAACTTGTAATCTTTAAGAAGAAAAAAAGGACAGAAAGACTATAAAAGCTTTCAGGTTAGATCCTTTGTATTTTAAAATCGAATACATTCCACAGCTGATAAATAGCCATCTCTGCTTCAAAATCTTTCTGAAATCCCAATGTTTTCACTAAACTTTCTGAATGACAATCTTTACCTGATCTTAAAATAATTAATAAACTATTCTCCTCAACTTGGATGAACTGCTGCATGACTCGGTATTTCTATGATCCTAATTACTGATGAAGGTAGACACATGAGTGTTGAGCTGTGACAATCTATACCAATCATTACAGATTCTAGTTCACTTAACACACATAATCATGATATAGAATAAATGAGAAGAAAATTTAAAGATTATATTTTAAATTAGTGCTCCTTGTTGTTCTATCTCTGGAAAAAAAATTGTCTTTTTTTTTAAAATAGTGCCTAAAACATTGTTTTATCAATGTGCTCTTCGGTGACTGGTAATTAATGGTTATTATGTTGAATTAATCCTATTAAATGTGGATTCCATATTCATGGTTTTGATTTCTACCTTCCATAGAGAAACAAACGTGCTTTGCTACAATCATTTTTTTTAGAATGACAGCCAATGAAAGAAAGGTATGATATACATTTTTTGAAGTATGTTATTAGTGTTATTTGATTTTAAATAATGAATAAAGAGAATGAGAACTATGGTTGTCACAGGATTGTTACATTATCCATCTTTGGTGAACCATCTTTAGTGGTGTTTTCAAAACAGAATCGGCTATTTAACTGCAATTAAATGTCTGTGTGTGTGTTTACAAATGAAATGAAAGTAAGAATCAGATCTAAAATCCCATATATATTACATAATACCCTGGTGAAGTGTGGGGCTGAACCCCATAATCAAACATTTATATATGTGCAGAAAAATGTATGAACATTTACACTAAAAATGTCTATAAATAACCCATCATCAACTGAGGTCAGAGCTTTTTGAGTTTCAGAATTATGAAAAAGAATCATGGTCTTTTATTATGCCTTAACAGATAATACAGAATTTGTGACCTTTTTCTAATTGAGTTTGCCTTTGTTATGCTTCGGTCTTCCACATAGAAAGAGCTTATTAAATTTTGAATTGATATGTTTAATCACACAGAAAAAAATGTCATAGCTTCTACACATATAACTAGTTACACATGTAAAATATTTGCAACACTTGGCACATAGTAAGCACTCAATAAATGTCATCTTTATTTTTGTTTTTAATAGTATTCTTATAACCACCGAATTGCCAAGAAGCCAGTTTTAATCTCCAGGGTGTGCCAGCAACTAATTGTTGATAATGGCAGTCTTATAGATCATAAGGGTCATGACTCTTTGAAATGGTCTGAATCTTAGAATCAGGGGAGAATGCTTTAGCAGGACAAACAGAAGATGATAGAGTTCTTGGGGATGGCTGGCGTTCACCAATGCATCTGACCAAATGGACAGGTGCTCAAATGAGTGCAGCCATTGTGTCTTCACAGCTATGCTAGACACAATCATCACCAGAGCAGTTTAGTGCATGTGCACAGTGTGATAAGGACGGTGGGTCAAAGGATTGGGCTTCTTATGTGTGAAATGGTTATCAATCAGTAGCATTGTTTTTTAAAAGACGTTTGGGAAGTAGCTTTATTGACATAGAATTCACATATGGCACCATTCACCCATTTCAGATCTATCATTAGATGGTTTTTCAGATACTGCACGTTATGCAACTATCACCACAAACCACTTTTAGAATATTTTTGTTACCTCAAAAAGAAATCCCCATACCTTCAGCTATCACTCCCAACACCTCTCCCACCTCATACCACCTGAGTTTTAAATAATCACTAAATCTACATTGTGTCTCTATTTGCCTATACTGGACATTTTATAAAATTATAATCAAATAATATGTGGTCTTTTGTGACTGGCTTCCCTAAGTTGGCATGTTTTTAAGGTACTACCATTATTTATTTTTTTATTTTTATACTAAGCTCTATGCCCGACATGGGGCTTGAATCCATGACTCT